AGGCTACGACTTCCCCGCGGTGCTGCGCTGGTTCGCGGAGCGCGTGGACCTCATCATCCTGCTGTTCGATGCGCACAAGCTCGAGATCTCCGACGAGTTCTCCGAGGCCATCGGCGCCCTGCGCGGCCACGAGGACAAGATCCGCGTGGTGCTCAACAAGGCGGACATGGTGGAGACGCAGCAGCTGATGCGAGTCTACGGCGCGCTCATGTGGGCGCTGGGCAAGGTGGTGGGCACGCCCGAGGTGCTGCGCGTCTACATCGGCTCCTTCTGGTCCCAGCCCCTCCTCGTGCCCGACAACCGGCGCCTCTTCGAGCTGGAGGAGCAGGACCTGTTCCGCGACATCCAGGGCCTGCCGCGCCACGCGGCCCTGCGCAAGCTCAACGACCTGGTGAAGCGCGCCCGGCTGGTGCGGGTGAGCAGCGGGGGGCGGGGCAGTGAGGGGCTGCCAGCCGTTCCCCGACCCTCCTCTGCTTGGCTGCCGGTCACCGGGCTCTCAGGTTAGCTGTCTAGCCTAGAGCGCCTTCTCCAGGCCGGGCCACGCCGGGGCCGGGGCCTGGAGGCAGCGGAACTGCTTGGAGACCGGCTCCGCTGCGTTGCCTCCTCTCCGGTCCAAGCCGCCCTGTCTCCTCTCTGTCCTGTTACCTCTTCATTGGTCACCTACAGCCCCTCAGAGTGTACCACGTCCGGCCCAGGACTCCTGTCTCACTCAGCAAACACCAAGCCCTCCCTGTGGCCCACAGCCCACCCCTTCCACCCTCGGCCCCCACACTGGTTTCTTCTCTGTCCTCAACTTCCCCTCCCTTCCCCTCGCTCCTTGCACTTCACAGCGGCCTCCTCAGTCCTACCCCCTGGCAAGTTCAGGGAAGGGGGGAAATGTCAGTTGAATCTAGAGCAGTAACTGAACCTGAGGCTGGGGGGCTGGGTGGGAGTCAGAGCACCCAGGGCTGTGGCCAGGAACATGCGCTTTGTCCCAAGAGCACGGAGGGAGCCGTGGAAGGGTTCAGAGCAAGAGAGGGGAGGGCACTGGGGAGCCATGGAAGGGTTCAGCGTAAGGGAGGGACAGCGTCAGGCTCTAGCTGCCTTCTGGAGGGTGGATTTGAGGGTGGCGAGACTGGAGTGCAGACCAGGGAGGAGGCTGGGCCCGGAGGAACAAGCAGGAGCCTGGATGGGGCCTGGGCCTTGGGAGGGGGAGGAGAGCACTGGTTTCAGGGTGATTTTGGAGGCCAAGTGGAACATTCATGGGGGAGGCTGCCAGGGTGGAGGTGGGGCAGGAAGCTGGGCAAGCGGGGAGGCCCTGAAGGTTCGGGAGCCAGAGGTGTAGGTTTAAGGAGCAGTGGGAGAGGGTGAGTCACAGCCCTGACCCCCCCACCCCAGGAATCCCCCGGAGGGAGCGCCCAGTGTGGTGGAGCCTCAGGACCCCTCGCTTTCCCACCCGGCCAGGCTCCCGGCTGTCCCCGGCTGTCTCTCTGTCTGTCCTTGTTTCTGCCGCTTTCTGAGCTCCTCTCTTACACAAACTCTCTCTCTTCCCCTCTCTCCCGTCTGTCTCTCTGTCCCTCTGTCTCTCCCCGCGTCCCTCATTCCTTCTCTCCCCCTCTCTCCCCCCTCTCCTGTGTCTGCCCCCCTGTCTCTCTCAGTCCCCCCGCTTCGTGTTTCGCCCTCGCGCCTCAAGGACCCCAGGCCCCAGGGAGGCCGCGGGACCCAGGGGCAGGGTCGGGCCGGACACCTGGAGCCCCGCCGGACAGGAGGCGGCTCCGGAAAGCCGGACAAACCCCGGAGTCCCCGCGGCCCGGCCCCGCCGCCCTCCCACCTTATCTCTTCCTGGCACCTTCCCCCGCTTCCTCTCTGGAAAAGCCATCAGCGCCCCCCCACCTCCCCACCTCTGGGTCCCCGAGGAGCCGCCCTGAGACCCCGCCCCCTCGCCCCATTGGCCCGCTCGCACCGGCCACGCCCACCAGCTGGCCACACCCCTGCCCTGATTGGCCCCTCGCACCACAGACCTCTCCTTCCCGGTCCTCCTGCAGATCCATCCATGGCTCCCTAGTGCCGGTCAAGGCACCAGGCCCACTGCCCCTCCCCTGCCCCGTGTCACCTGCTCACCACGCCCCCCACATACAATTCTGCCACAGTCGGTCCCGCCATCAAACATGCTCTTCCCCAAGGGTACAAAGCCTTTCTGGACGCTTGCTAGCCACCCCTCTTCAGAGGTGGGGTGCGGACGAGCCCTCTGGCGCTACCCTTCAGCTGAAATGAGAGCTGCGCTGGGATATTTGAGGCCAAGGTCTTGGGAGGGTCTGAGTCTAAAGAGGCCAAATGCCTTGAACCTTCATGCGGAGCTTCTCTGAGCCGCCCAAGGACGTTCCCTTAGCTGACAGTCACTGTTCCAGGCCCGGGAGACCAGCAGGGAGCAAGCCGGGTCAAGTTCCCTTTCTCTAGAATTACCTTGTAACCGGGAAGCGGATGTGAAATTCATCTGTGGCATTGTGTGCGATAAGGGTTATGAAGAAAGTTGAGGCAGAGGAAGGAGAGACTAGTGAGGGGCTGTTTTAGGGAGCTAGGGAAGGTCTCCCCAGGAGGCGGTATTTGAGCAGGGGCCTGAAGGAGGGGAAGGGGGAGCTGAGTGGAGATCTGGGGGAGTCCGGACCGGGCAGAGGGAACAGCAAGTGCAAAGGCCCTGAGGGAGGGACATGCTTGAACAAGGAGCCCAGGGAGCCTGGAGGAGCCGGGGTGGAGGTGGGAGGGGGCGAGGACTCAGAGCCAACCAGAGTCACCAAAATGTTCAGCGTTCTAAACCTATGATTCACTTACAAGTGTTCTTAAGTGAACACTGAAGACCCGCTCTCGGTGACATGCTCCCTGCCGCCCCAGCCCCCCAGCTCTCGGCTGTTCCCCAGAGGCAGCCCCGCGAGTAGTTTCCTGAGCCTCTTCCTAGACATTTGTTTTCACTTAAGCACATACATTTAATGAATTAGCCTCCTGTTTAAAGTTGGACACCGTACGCTGATCAGCCTGCCCTCCTTGTTTGCCTTTTGATAACACAGGAGGTTGTGACTCAGAGGTTCCCTGGCTCCCTGGTTGGGTCTGCAAACATTTCTCGAGTGTTTTTGTGCGCCCTGTGCCAGGGCTGAGGGCAGAGGAGCGAGTCAGGTCCCAGCCCCCCTGGAGCTCACATTCTGATGGAAAGGGAGAGACTAAATAGACCAACAGATAAGTAAAAGAATGATGAACTGTGAGAAATGTGAACAAAACGATAAAGGTGAAGATAGAAAATAACTGGATACCCTGCCGGTTGGCTCAGTGGTTAGAGCACCGGCCCGCGCACCACAGGGTCGTGGGTTTGACTCCTGGTCAAGGGCATGTATCTGGGCTGCAGGTCCGCTCCCCAGCCCCGGTCAGGGGGCGGGCAGGAGGCAACCAATCGATGTGTCTCTCTCACGCTGGTTTCTCTCTCTCTCACTTTCTCTGAAAAGCAATGGAGGGAAAATATCCTCAGGTGAGGATTTAAAAAAAAAAAAAAGCGCATCGAGAGTTTGGAGCAGCATCTAGTGATCTGGTGTTTGCTCCTTAAAAAAACAACAAAAACCCCCCAAACCTCCTCCTGCTGCTGCTGCTGTGTGGAGTAGGGTTTGTAGGGACAAGAGAAGAAGGGGGGTGACTGGTGTGTCTCCCCAGGGCGGTGGCCACTGAGGCAGAGAGAAATGAGAGGCTTAGGAGGCAACATTAAAAGGACTCCCTGGGGTCGGAGGGGGCCAGTGAGCAGCTAGAGTGAAATCAGGACTGATTTCCAGATTCCTGGCCCCCATGGGGGAGGCAGAAGTGGGGGTGCCATGGGATCCCCATGATGGGCACAGCCAAGGGGGCACAGCTCTGGGGGCTGCGCCCAAATTCCACCGAGGGCATCATAAGACGGAGCTGCCCAGGAATGTTGACAGCCAGCCTGGAGCTCCAGGGAGAGGGCTGGGCTGGTATGTAGGTTGGGGAGTGGACGGTGCTGAGGGTGCTTCAGCCACGGGAGGGCCCCGATTGCCTGCGAGGGAGAGGACGGGCCCTCTCCCTGTGATGGCAACAGCGCAGCAGCTCCCCCGGAACTGTGGGAAACGCAAAGTCTCGGGGCCCGCCCTGGACCAAGCTTATCAGCAACTCTGGGCGGGAGGCCTGGGAACCTTTTTTTTAAAAAAAAAAAAAAAAAAAAAGGGAGAGAGAAATATCGATGAGATCTGCCTCCTGCACGCCTCCTACCAGGGGTCTAGCCCACAACCCCGGCATGTGCCCTGGCCGGGAGTTGAACCGGCGACCTTTCGGCGCACGAGAGGATGCCCAACTGGCTGAGCTACGCTGGCCAGGCGGCTGGGAGCCTCTTGTTTTAAGGGGCCCGCCCGGTGGCTGTGAGGCAGGCTCAGGAGAGACGTCTCCCCCTCAGGTGCACGCCTACATCATCAGCTACCTGAAGAAGGAGATGCCCTCGGTGTTCGGGAAGGACACCAAGAAGAAGCAGCTGATCCTGAAGCTGCCGGTCATCTTCGCCAAGATTCAGCTGGAGCATCACATCTCCCCGGGCGACTTTCCCGACTGCGAGAAGATGCAGGTGGGAGGCCGGGGAGGGAGGCGGAGGGCTGCCGGGAGGCTGGGCTTCTGTGGGCTCCGGGATGGGGCCTCGAAGGCCAGGGGGATGCATGGCAGGTTGTGGAAAGCACCTCCTGCGAGTGGTTCTGTGGGAGCGTGGTTTTATGTTAGGATAAGGGAGTGAAGGAAAAACCCCAAGTAACTGTGGCTTAATTAGGATAGAAGTTGACTTCTCTCCTTCATAAATAAATGTCCTGGAAGATGACTTAGGGCTGGTTTGGTGCTTCACAGAGGCAAGGACCCAAGCCCTTTCTTAGTTCCCCTCCCTGCCTGGCCTCCGGGCCCAAGAACACCTCATGGTACAAAGTGGCTGTGGGAACTCCAGCCCTTGCGTCTGCATCCCAGCCAGCAGGAAGTGAGGAGGGGAAGGGAGCTAACGGGACAGCCTCTCTCTATAGAACAGTGCTGCCCAATAGTACTGTCTATGAAGGTGAAAGTGTTTTATGGTAACCACTAGCCACATTAGAACTGAAATTTTAGGTTTTATTTCATTTTAACTCATTTAAGTTTAAATAACCACGTGGCTACTGTATTGAACAGGGCCATTTTACTCAAGTTGCGCTTGTAACTCATGCTGACATTCAATTGGCCAGAACTTAGTCACATGGCCTCCGCCAACTGCAAGGGAGGCTGGGAAGTGTAGTCTTCCCTCTATGTGGCCAGGAACACAGGTAAGGTTCAGGGATTCCAGTGCTGAGGAAAAAGGGACAAATGGATCTTGGGGGACCAGTGGGAAGCTCCTCGCATGTCCAGGCCTAGGATTAACCAGTGCTGCGAAAGCACTGGGTCCGGGTGTGGTGGCAGGAGGGAAACGCAGAGCTACTGGAGGTGGGCAGGGCAGGAGGGACCAAATGAACAGGACCGAAGTCCAGGCTCAGGCCTGGTGGGGGGGACCAGCCGGTGCCCAGGCTGAGCCCGTTTGAGGGCTGATACTCAAGGCCGTGCCCTTTGGGTCTGAGATGTCTCCAATCCAAGGCTGAGGAATTACAGTAGAGTGCGTTTTGCCTTGGCCACTCACTAGCTCCATGAACTTGGGCAAGTCACTTCGTTTCCTGAGCCTCAGCTTCTCCAACTGGGAAATGGGCATCCTGACAGTATCTACCTATTGCCATGAGTACTGAATCAGCTTGCAGACCCCTGAGAACAGGGTCTGGCACAGAATTTGGACTAGGTTAAGGTTTTTCAGCACTTGGGGCCAGAGAATTCTTTGTCACAGGATATTAAGTGGCATCCTGGCCTCTACTCACCAGTAGCACCTCCCGCCACACACCAGCTGTGACAATCAAGTGTCTCCAGAGCTTGCTAACTGTGAGCTGTAGGCTAAATAGCAGCTGTTAATATTTTTACAGTATTTTTAATTTTTCTCCTTACCTAAGGATATGTTTATTGATTTGAGAGATAAACACCAATGTGAGAGAGACACGTTGATTGGTTGCCTCTGGCGCGTACCCCAACCAGGGTTGGGGATCAAGCCTGCAACCGAGGTACATGCCCCTGGCCAGGAACTCCAACCCAGGACCCTTCAGTCCGCAGGGCGGCACTCTAACCACGGAGCCAACCAGCCAGGGCAGGAATTGCATTTTCTTAAGTCCCATCATGGGGGGGCGGTGCTGGCTGGGTTGCCGGGGTGCCAAGGGGGCGGGCAGAGCTGGGAGCCCACAGTCTAGTGCTCTGGAGCTAATGTCCAAATGTTAAAATTTTCCTCCCCCAGCTGGCAAACAGCTGCTGCTCTGAGTCATCGGAGGTCCCCGAGCTCCCTACCGTCCAGTGGTTCCGGGGCACGCCCGGCATAGGGGGAGGGCAGGTGGGACCCTGTTCCCAGTCCCTTCTGAGTGCTGGGTGCCCAAGCAGATTGCTCAAGTGTCCTGGTGCCACTGGGGGCCTTGGGGATGATGCCCCTGACTTCTCGGCACCCCTCTTCTCCCCCCAGGAGCTGCTGATGGCTCATGACTTCACCAAGTTCCACTCCTTGAAGCCGAAGCTGCTGGAGACGCTCGACGAGATGCTGACCCATGACATCGCCAAGCTCATGCCCCTGCTGCGGCAGGAGGAGCTGGAGAGCACCGAGGTGGGCGTGCAGGGCGGCGCTTTCGAGGGCACCCACATGGGCCCGTTCGTGGAGCGGGGGCCCGACGAGGCCCTGGAGAACGGCGAGGAGGGCTCGGACGACGAGGCCGAGTGGGTGGTGACCAAGGACAAGTCCAAATACGACGAGATCTTCTATAACCTGGCGCCAGCTGATGGCAAGCTGAGCGGCACCAAGGCCAAAACCTGGATGGTGGGCACCAAGCTCCCCAACTCGGTGCTGGGGCGCATCTGGAAGCTCAGCGACGTCGACCGGGACGGCATGCTGGACGACGAGGAGTTCGCCCTGGCCAGCCACCTCATCGAGGCCAAGCTCGAGGGCCACGGGCTGCCCACCAACCTGCCCCGCCGCCTCGTGCCACCCTCCAAGCGGCGCCACAAGGGCTCTGCAGAGTGAGCCAGTGCTGCCTGCGGGCCCCCCTCCCACCTGCCCTGCTGTGGCTCCCCAGCTTTGGTCAGCTGCACGCACATCCCTACCCTGGCCCACACGCACCCTGCCCGCCCACCTTCCCCGCTGTAAGGATGGGGGTGTCTCTATCCCCCCCGCCAGACAGAGGGGGTCAGGGGAGGGGCAAGACGTCTCTCCTCACCCTTCATACCTGTACCCGCACATACACTTAGGCACATCACACGGACACTAACACACAGGTATCCATCCATTCATCAGCCATTCAAATATTTATTAAGCACCTACTATGTTCTGTGTTTGGGGCTCGTTCTAGGCACTGGGGATTCCAGCAGAGAGCAAAACAGACACACACCTGCCCATGTGGAGCTGACATTCTCAGAAGAGAGCACCTACGTGTGACCCAAACACAGACACACACGGGCCCTAACCAGCCGGATCCTGGGTTCTAGGCAGGGCCCCTGGCCTCTCCCCATAAATGAGCAGCCACTTGGTTGAAATGACTGACAGGCCCCCTGCCCTCCTTCCTCTTGGGGACCCCCGCCCCCACCCCATCATGCCCTCAGGCCTTAGGACCACTGGGGACTGAGCAGGGAGACCCAACCCCCTGCTTCCCCAGATGGACCCCTCCCCCAGCTCGGGTCACGCCCGATTTTAATAAGCATCTTTAGGGAGCAGAAAAGCCCCTGATCCTTGCTCCTCCCAGACTGTGCCCACTGTGAGGTATTTATGTCGTCCGCCCACCCGCTGGGATCGAAAAGCAGCCTGGCTCCTCTCCCCCCACAGCTGGTGGTCAGAATTGGAGCCTGCTGGGGCCCCGCCCGCTGCCCGTCCATATTTAAGTGGCGCCCCTACCAAATATAAGGGACCCCACCCCAGGCCTTTATTTTAGTCCCCTTTTCAGGGATGTGGTGGGGGGACAGGCTCTTGGTGCTACAGCCCCCCCTTCCCTCTAGAGACCTCACACCGTCCTTTCCTGCCATCACCCCATATTAGTGCTTAACCCTGGTGGGGACCCCATGGAAAAGACGGGGAAATGGGAAACAGGTGGGGACGATGCGCCCCCAGGGCGCTGGATTCCCACGCTCGCCACCCCCTCCCCATGCTGGGCGGGGCCTGGGAACCGAGCGGCGGCCCCACAGCCAATAAAGCGAAGGCTTCTCTTCTTGCGGGCGTCCAGCTGTCTTGGGATGGGCTGTGGGGGGATCGCCCTGCTCCCGACCCCCGCGGAAGGAAAGCCCGGGGCGGGACTGGAGGGGGGGTCCCCTCCAAGCTCTCAGGGGCGAGGGTGGAGGCCGTGACTCAATGCTTCGGAGCCCGATGACTCAGTCCGGGCTGGGGGCCAGACCGACATTTTTCCGTACAAAAGTTACTCTGGGGCCCTCCCTCCGGGACATCCCTCCCTCCACAGCCCGCCGCGGGGGCCTGGGAAC